TAATAATATTAAAAAATACAAACTGTAATCCATTATTACATACACATAATAAGCACAGCATAAATACTAGTACGTACATTTTTTTTTTTTCAAAACCTAATGCTATAATCTCAAAAACATGTCACAACAATGAGTTTTAAATTTATTTGATCCACCAACCAATGCATGTAATTCATATTATTACAGAACGAATATATTACATCGTAAACAACCTTGAATTAGTAACCATGATGAACGTTCAGTATTATTATTATGAATATACATTATGAATTCGATTTTAAGTTCATATTTAACATACATACCGAATTCAGCATTCATACGGGTGAGACATGTACCTACATCTTGGTACTCTGCATACAACCTGAAATAATTTTAACAATATTTAATGAGTTCATTAAATTAAACATCCAATTGCGATCATTTGCATGATTATATGCAATGGTTTTAACAAACAAAACAGTTTTCAGCGAACTCCCAAACGTTTTGACGAATAGCACGAAGTAATGATAAACATATTATTAGAAAATATAATAAATATAATTTTTTCAACAACAAAGCGAGTTTTTTTAAAAAAAAAAAACTTAAATTTAATTTAGTGTACGCTTCAAACCAGAACTTTGAAACCGCTACCGGAAAAATGGGTTACCGGGTCCGGAGAACTCGGAAAATTTTTCGGAACCAGTTGTCGGTCTTTGTAGTTTTTAGAAATAGTGGTAATTGATTCCTGGTTACCAAAATAACTATAACAAATAGGATTACCGGTTATCTGTTTGGAAGCGGTTTTAAATCATCAAACTTAACGGTAACCACTTTTAAACAGGGTTTTCGTTTTTTTTTTTTTCAACAGTCGATTTTCCTTTATTAAACTTAAATCTGAAGTACTTTTAACAAACCATTTATGCATTTTGTTGCAGGGGCGTATTTTAGGAGGGGCAAAGGAACGATCGCCCTCCCCCTGAATCCGTATTTAAAGAATTGATTATATGTGAGATACACATTTCAAATTTTTTTAATGTGGATAATTTTATACCGAAATCAAATTACGCGTGGCTGTGAATACTGAATTGGGCTTTTCTTGGGTCTCCATACTTAGTGAAAAATCAAATAAAACACAAGCATAACTTTCAAAACACAGACAGATATTAAAAAATAACTATACAGAAGCTGATTCTAAGTGAATCCGGCATTATAATAAAAAAAAAAAAAACACAAATATTAAGGATTCACCTGATTTAAATATTATAAAAAATTTTGAACCTGAATTAAAGAAAAAATTTGAGTCTCCTAGAAATAAGTCTAAATACGCCCTTATGTTGTTGTAATGTGACTGTAGGTAAGAAGAGGCATAAAACAAAAGAAAATACTACATAACTACATAAGTAGTATACTTATATCTTTTTTTCTTTAAGATATATAAAACACTTAAAAATATAAAATAAATGATAATAGTTTGATAAACATGAAAAAGATTTAAATACAAAACATTCTATCCTAATCAAAGTTCACACTTTATACTTGAAAAACTTAAAATAATTAACAAAAAAATTAATCTGTGTATACCATAGTGTATCACTGTATAATGTATACTTATGCAAATATTAAATATCAAACTTAAAAAAACATATTAAATTTCTGTGCCCATCTTATTTGCTCTTATAATCATATTATTGTTTTAATTTTGGTATATTTAATATCCTATATCTGGTAGTATGTATATCGTACATGAGTTATAAATGTATAATATTACATATCATATATGTCAGCTATTAGAACAATCTGTATACTGAGAATCTACCCGCATTTTTTTGTGCGCTGATAATATTAAGGGTTCGAACATGGATTGTTATTTATGTTTTGGTGTTTTTACATTTATATATTTACTTAATGATTCTAAAATAATTTAATAAACTATTTTGGAATTATTTTCGCCAATTCAGAATATAATTAAGAAAAAAAATTTTAACGTTAATTGGTTACCGTTATAGATTTCCATCTTTACCAAATTACACGATTACCGGTTTTTGATAAACTACTTCTCTGTATTGAAACACGAGAACCGGGAAGCGGATACCAGTCCCAAAAGTAATCGTAGTAACTGGTTACCGGTTTCAAATCCTGAAAGAAAAAGATAGATAAATAGGTGCATTACATTTGACTGGCTTGCTTTTACCGACATTTCATACGGAGCTTGCGAGTATTGTATCGACGTCGGTGTATCTGCGTGAAACACAGGGTTCTCTTTTCCCAAATTTCTTACTTTCCCCGTGATGTGCAAGTATTGAGCCAGTAGTTGGATGCCAATAAAATGTATTCATAGCTCTCCAGCATTAGTGCAGTACTGGGTAACGTTAAAGACAGTACTGCACCTGTATGGATTAGCTTGCAGTTGGATAGCCAATGCATGTGCAGTATTGCGCCCATCGCGAGGACCTGCATAAGAAAACTTTTTCGATTGGGTAGCATAAAAGAAGACAAATCCTTGTTCAATCATGCCGGGTAACCTGTACTTATACATGAAATGCAAATACCATTCGGTTACGTAAGGGAGTGTGTAGGGGTGCAATACCCCCGCCAACTACGAACGACCTGTTGTATAGTTAGCAAAGCAGTATTAGTGTTATAGGAATCTGTTTTAGAAAGTAGTCGGCAAATTTGTAACCGTACTTAATCAATAAAAACTGCAAGCGTCGGTCCTGCCCGTGTGTAGGATGCAATACCTGACGGTTCCGTGATGGACGGGAGTGCAGTGCATCCTGGTACCAGGACGTACAAGTCGCAGCGATTTGGGTTTTGGACGAAACACCGTTTCAATCCAATCTGGATTTCGAGGATACACTATGCCATCCTTCTATTAGCGCGTGGCGCTCCTCGAAAGCCGGGGGGCGGACGAGCGGTGGACTCGAGCCAAGTTGCTTTTAACTTATCGATTTTGTCTTCTCTTAACTTAAGTTAATTATTTTCATTAACTTGTCCACCTTTGTAAATAGGTACAAATCTGACCGCGTTGAATTAATGTGAATTTTAATCGGAACATAGAATACAATTCGTTTTATCGTTAGCCGAAACACCTAAAAGTTTTTGAGCATTTCATTCGGACGACTTTAATGTTAAAACCACCTCAAGCAATAGTTACAAGTGTTAGTGAAACGAAATATTTGACAATTGTGCGATGTTTACCCCACAGAAAAATACTTTGGTGTTCACGATTTTTATAAGATTAATATGACGGTACTTTGTTTCTGCGAATTCATTGAATGCCAAGCAAAGTATATAATCAAGATGATATATTTCAATGAAAAATTAATTAATCTAATGGTTTAACTGTTGATTATAATGGACTACCGATTGCATGTTATTTACAATTGTTTTAAAATGTTTTAAGAAGTGGGACCCAGATAAAAGTACCTATTTGATTATTGTGAATGGTATTATACTACAACAGTGAGTTTTACAAAAATATTTTAAAAATCTGAAAAACAGGTACCTATATACATTTTGTAATAAAAACAATATTCTAACTAAAATAATTTATCAAAGATAAATAACAAGTATATTTCGTGAATTTGAATCAATAAAGATTATTAAAGTTATGTTGAATTAAAATATTCAACATAACTTTAATACCTATGGCGAAACTGCAACCGAAGGTTTAGGAGAATATAGTTTTATTTATTCATGCAAAAAATACGTGAGAATAGTACATGCATAAACACAGCAAGCTCAATTGTTAAAAAATATAAGTTTTTTGTTTATTTTTAGTCATCTTTTTCAATATTTTAAAAATAATTTAATAAATAAAACTATTTCATATTTTTTAGTTTACAATACTTACAATAATATAAATAATAAATATTACATACTGTGGATAGAGTTAAATAATGCTGTACACAATTTATATTAATGGTATTCATATATAAATTATATACAACTCTTTAACTATTGTTATTTATTATTACAGCCACATATATATTGAAAAATGAAAATGATAATATTCCAAGACTTACTGGTTCTCAAAAATCAGCCTCCCTAACCATTTTCACTAGCCTCAATAACGCATTGCAATCGCTCATCATATTTTATATTAAAATATGTCACATTCAAGCCACTAAAATAAAATAGTGAATATACAAAAAAACTTAACTGTCCACAGTGTTGACATTTTAATATCTAAGTAAAGCAAATTTAAGACTGGAAACGTATTTTAATTGAAAATAACATGTATACATTCTAACCAAAATTAAAAAATTTACACAAATTAGTTAGTATTTTCATGACAATCAAATAAAAATGTAAATTATGCAATTTATCATGAATGATTATAGTAAAATATCAAATATAAATATTTTGTGCTTGTAAAAATTATCAATAACAAATATAATTCTTTATTACAAATAAAATGACTGAAATAATTTCTAGGAATAGTGAATAAGATTAAAAGTGTAATCTTTGCAAACCTTTTTTCTTCCTTTTATAAACAGGATATTGAGTAAATTTTCTTTTTATATAAAAATTTAAAGAACAAAATTATATAAATACAAACATTAGACACTTTAAATCATTGATATGAACCTAAAGCTTCTTTTACTTTATTATAAATATTATATGTACACAATTGTTCATTAAATAAAATAAATTAAATGAATAATAAATATAAAAAAATAATAATAACAGGTATTAAAATTTATAATTTATATATGGTAATATAGTAAACCATTACTATAAGTTAAATTCTGGTTATGCTCATTTAGTAAGACAATGTTCATCCTGATTGACAGGAAGAAAAATTATCTTTGGTGGCTCCTTAGTTTTTCTTGAACTTTGAGCTTATTACTTCTTACATACAAAAAAAAAATAAATAAATAAATAATACATGACAATTTTAAAAATAAACTAATAATAACTATTATTAGAAAATAAAAAACAATAAGACATACATAAACAAAATTACATTTTCACTTAAATTTTTTTTTTTTTTTAAATTGTTATGTAAAAATACTTACTTCACATATATTTAATCCTTTAAAGGATTAATGGATATAAAATTAATGTACTGAACATGAATACTGTTCTAAAAATTGAATGACAAATAAAAAAAAATACATAAATTAATTCAAACAATTAATGACCTATAAATTGAGAAGATGACATGAAAGTATAAAAGGACGTTATTTAAGATATTCACATTTACGTTATTTACACAATACAAAACATTGGTGTATATAATTACAAATTTCACTAACATACCTTTATAACGACAGTTTTTATGACATGCCGATGGCACAATGTATGTGCTTTGATCGCATTTGTGAATGGCAAGCGCTAAGAAGGAAGTCCAAGGGCAGCAGGATTTTGTTGATTGGGTTGCAATTGCATATGTTGTTGTTGCATATGCAAACTTTGTTGTTGAAGGTGCATTTGTTGCTGCATGTGCAGTTGTTGTTGCTGATGTTGTTGCTGCTGAAGTTGTTGTTGTTGAAGTTGTTGTTGCTGATGTTGTTGCTGATGTTGCTGCTGATGTTGTTGCTGATGTTGTTGCTGATGTTGTTGCTGAAGTTGTTGATGTTGTTGCTGATGTTGTTGCTGTTGATGGTGCTGTTGATGTTGTAAATGGAGATGATGCTGTTGAAGAGGGGATACAAATGGTTTTAATTGAATAGGGAATTGTCCATCTGTCCACGAAATAAGGGCATGTTCAGGCATTTCAGATGATTGAAAATGATCTTTAAGTAATGTTTGTGAAAAGTTTGAGTGCATTTGTAATGCCTCATTTTCTCTTACAGGATCATTACACATTCTATATAAATCTAATACAATCAGAAACAAAAATAAAATACTTATTACCTATAATAATAATATTATTTAAATATATACATCAACTAATAAAATACCTTTAAGTATAGCTGAAGCCCATAACTGTACATGTACATCGGGAATTTTACTAGCCAATTGCATAGCTGGAGTAACCATGTTCATACTTTCTCTACTGTTGCCCAATGATAAAAATATGTGACCAAGCAATACTAAGGAACAACTTGTCAAACGGTTTAAATCTTCTGCATTGGCCATTTTTAATGTTTCTCTTAAATATCTCCTAAAAAATCAAATAGTTGAAAAATTTAAATATTTTCAATTTATCACTTATATAAGTATTAATAATTTAGCTACTAATATAATATGATTAGTAATATGTTTATATATTAATGGTAAAAATTAACAAAACTATAGATTACTAATTTACGAACAGTATAATAACAATTGTTATTTCACTATTATTTTCAACATATATTTATTTTCCTTACATTAAATAAGTTACTTACTTCGCTTCATTGTAACGAGCTTGGAAAAATGATTGCAAACCTTGAACATAGTATGCAGCAGCTCTAAGGCTATGTGAATGCGATGTAAGAGTTTCTGGATTTATACGGTCTAAAAGAGCATTTAATTCTATATCTCTTTTACCTCTTAAGTAGACAATTGCTAAATTGAGGTTCGCAAACGTCCATAATTCACGTTCTTGTGACAACTGGAAATATAAATTATAATTTAATTAATTGTATTAAAGATAAATTAAATTATATTAAAATTAAAACATATTTTCTATAAAATCCAATAAAAAAAAAGGTTCTTATACATTTATTAATATCCAAATTATATAAAAAATAGAAAATGTATAATGTAAAAGTATATACAGTTAGCATTAAAATAGTACATACAATAAAATGTTTTCAGTTATTCTAACTGTGAAATTTTTATTACACAATAGTAATAAATTTTTTTTTATTTAATTAATAACAAATGTGAAAACCCAGAATAAATGGTTGTATTGGATTATTATTGTTTTTGGCTTAATTGTTAAATTTATTAACATTATTAAAATTAATATTTTATAGATTATTAATCTGCAAGTAGTTAGATTGCTGACAAAATGAATAAATATTGTTTTAGATACAAAAAAGAAGTAAAATGAAACTAATGGAGTTATTGCAACAGCAATTTCGGGTAAACTAAATTACTTTCTTTTGAAAAACAAAGACTGGAAACAATTACTAGACATTAATAGTATAATGGTGGAGTTAAATCAAACAAAATTAACTATCATAGGTTAGATTTAAATGAAATCTCTTGCATGAAGTGTGTACCGATGATTTCAGTGGATGTAAAGCATTTGTTTTCTATGTCTAAAAACATTCTACCAAATAATAGAGACTGTTTCACAACTGCAAATCTTACAAAATATATGGTAGTTAATTATTTTTTTAATTCAATTAATTTTTTTATTCAGTTTTATAACTAATTCATGTTAATTTTTGGTCATGCTTTGTTTTTAAAATAAATATGCTTCATTTTTGCTTTTTTTAAGACAATTTTGTACTTTTTTTGCTATTTATTATGCTTTAAAATCTAAGCCCTAGTTATTCATTTTGATTAATTATAACTTTCAATCGGGTATCCTGAAATTTGTTTAAACCTTTTTTTATTTATATTACTTAGCCCAAACTAAATCATAGGTAATGAAATATAGTGAGTTATATAGTATTATAGTTTATTTTAAATCGTCTTAAAATTTATTGGTTGAAAATTTATTATTTTTATAATAATAAGCAACATTTATACACATGTAATTTAATATATAAAGTGTAAAATAAAATTAATTATAAAACAAAGTCAAACCGCTTTTAAACGAAACATTTTACATTATTTTTTTTTCTATGTAACCATGAAATTTTCATCAAAAAGTGTTTCTATTTAATGAAAATAATTTCTAACAAAAAAATTTAATTTAAAGTTATATAATAATATTGGTACTCTAGAGCTTTCAAAAGTATAACAAAACTGTTTCAGAAAAATCAAGGTGGTTTTAACACTATTCATCATGAAATTTAGCATACTAAAAATATATCAATTTATAGTTTTAATTCCTTAAGTTATACATTAATATAAACCGTTGACAAAAAAAAAAAAATAAAAAAAATAAGTGTTTTTATGTATGCATACATTTTACAAAATACATACTAACGTACTATTATTTATTATTTATTATTGTAAAATATTATTATTATAAATTTATATGAGATATACAACATAATATTAATCAGATGTATTTAATTTAGTAAAAACGAGTTTTTAAGTGAATTAATGTTAATTTCTTAAAACATTTTTTATTTTCATTTCATTCAAATTCATTTAAATTCATATTTACATTTAAATAAAATAGCCATTAAAAATTTACTAAGTAATGAAAAGAATAAATACCCTTAATGAAGTAGTAAATTGCATTTCAGCAGCGTCCATACAATTCATACTCATTGCATATAAACCTATAAGCATATGGAGTTGAGGACGATGAGAATTTAAAAGTCTTGGATGCCTTTGACAAATACTGCATACTTGAGACATCTCACGTAATGCTTGTGATTTGTTCCCTGTTACTAAGCGACACATTACCATATTTTCAAGCAACATTAGCTGAAAGACTGATAATATTGGTGTTTTGTTGTCTCCAGCTATATACAAGATTAAAATTTGAAAATATAAATAATCATCAGTATTATTATTATACCCATCAGTTACCTTTCAATTTCTCAATTTGTGCCAAAGCTTTATCTGTATATTTTTGTGCTTTGTCCATGTACCCTGCTTGCATACTATGCATTACAGTCACTAGATATACTACAACATATAATTGTTCTTTTGGCATCCAAATGAACATATCACCCATGTTGGATCCACAAACAACTGCAACAATATTAATTGTATATTAATACTGTTATATATTTAACATAAAGTTAAAATTAACTATTCAGATATTGCAATATCCTAATTCAAATTTTCAAAATCTTTTTTTATATTAAAGTTTATAAATATAAAACAACATCTTATACTAAATCTCAATAAAAAAAATAATTTCAATATTTTTTATGCAATGAATAAATGATTGCATATTATAGAATACTTGTCAACTTAATTTTTCTGTCCCATACTGTACCTTTGTCATAAATATATGAAAACAAATTTTTATCTATTATGCTCATAATAAATTTAAATAAATATTTAATTATCTTTTTATTTTTTATAAAAATATTACTCTAATAAAATGAAACCCACTTAAAAATTCCAAATTTCTGTTACATAAATCTAATTTTAAGTCATGGTAGTACATTTTTTTTTTAATAAAAGAATTTTAAATCCGTAATGGCTAATTGGTAACTAAGTATATTTTATTAACTTTATTTATCTTTATTAATAATAAAATTCTAAATTATCATTATAAAACCTATATATATGTATATAATCCTATAAAAGCTTTTGCTTGTAGGATGAACTTACAACTTTTATGTTTATTATTGTCACATCTTAAAATTTTGTTATTATTACAATAAACCTGTTATTATTTTATATACAGATATATGAATAAATTAGTTTTGTAATTTTTTTTATAGAATTTATAACTATGTTAATAAATTTAGTTTTAAATAGTAAATGAAACACATTTATATTTTTCCATATATGACTTTATATGACTTAAAAGTTACAAAAGGTGACATTTTCATTGTTTTAGCTGTTTATTTTTACTTAAAATAATTTATTAAATACCTTACAATTTTGTTACAACATATTTAATTTATTTTTAAAACTTAAATTATGGTTTTATATCAAATAAATTAGTTTCATGATAAATTTAAATAAATTTAGAAAGTAACAGTGTAAAATTAATTAAGCTTTTAATTAATAAAAGATTATGCAAACTTTTAATAGGAACTCTTAGATATAGTGAATCTTTCTTAATGATAATATTCTAAGCAAACTAAAAGGGTTGATTTTGAACTTAAATGACTCTAAAATTAATTAAATAAGAATCTATTAAATTGTCAATAATTACTTTCATCAGAAGGCCATGTAGGCTGCATGATTGTCAAAATACTTTGCTGTAATTGCTTTAAATATGACTTGACACTTTTTACTTGTCCAGCCATTAAATAATGACATACCTTTAAAATAATATTTGCATTGTTAATAACACAGTTAGCTAGAAAAAGCAGATGAAATTACTTGTAAAACTAAAAAGAAAACTTTCAGATATTCTTTTTGATATTGGCTAGCTTGCCAATTTTCAACTAAATATCCAGCTTGGGTTAATAATGGAGAAACTTCTGTAATTTTCTTATCAATAAGCAGTAACTAATTGAAAAAATAACACTTATATAATTAAAACTTATATTTGATAAAATATTTTATTTTTAATATACATACCATACATCTACTAAGTAGAAAAAGTACTCTAGTATAGGCTGCAGACGATATGTGAGCATAATCAACACCGACTCCAAGTAAGCTGCTAGCTAATTCATAGTCCTTTTCCACAGCGTGTATTTGCTGAAAAAATAACAATGATATTCATAAATGTATAGAAAAAAAGTAAATAGAATGTATTATCAAAGAGATAATGCTTACGGCTAATTGAAATATTAATCTACAGTGCCAATATATATTATGCTGTGATAGTTCAACAGCTTTTCTTAAAATAGGTTTGGCCAAATTTGACTGGTTTTGCTGTTGATACAACTCAGCCACAACGCTGGCCGCTTCGAACTTGACATCATCAAACGTGTTGATGGATTGCGACAGCAACCACTGTAAAGAAACGAAAGTGTGTCAGTGCTATCGGGATGGAAAAGTCAGTGTCTTGCATACCGCTTGTTCGAGATGTGTTCGCGCCAGGTCCGTGTTCTTCGTGTACTGCAGAAGTATGTTACCCAATTGCAAATGAGTTCGGGCTTCGACCCTAGGTGGTGGTTTGAAACTGAACACGGCCTGCAAGCACTGGATGCACATCTTGATCTGGTTCGATGTCCGAAAGTTTTCCGCCAGTCCCAGCAGCGACAGGTACCAAGCGTCCTGTGATGACGCCATTGGACGCGGAAATATCCGGGTAATTGGGAAATATTAAACAAAATTTCTTTTTAACAGTTACATTACATTTATCAACGATTGTTATAATCACGACAAATTGTCAACAAAACACACTAAAAGACCAAGGACTGTCTTAATGCCAGAAACCACTGTTACCACAAGCATTATTCAACCGTATCAGTGGTATCGATGTTGATAACGGCCGTTATCAAACGGTTGGGTGGCCATATTTATTATATATTCATGAATTTATTATATTCCGTGAACTGGGCTTAGCAGTTCGACGTGAAGCTTTCAATCTGAAATAGAAAATAACAATATGCCTAGCACCGTTCGACTTCAATCATGTTGAACAATGACGAACGCTTTGCGGCACTCGGCCAAACGGCTTCCAAAAGCCTCTGTCGTGCTTACCAATTACTTGGAGCAGTCCAATGAACCGCCTTGGACGTCTTTTTTCGTTAAATATAGTTCCGTTGTTGACGATCAACGAGGCCGATCCCACTTCAATTGGAAGGCCGGTAGTACTAACTACCATGTCTTGCGTGCCGGTTGTTTTCCCTACATAAAATATCATTGCACCAAAAGACCTTATGAAAACTTGGAATCCGAAGATAAATTGTTCAAAATATTAAAACTTGTTAACCTAGGTAAGCACTAAGCGATTGTGTTAAAAATACCAAAATAGTCAGTATTAAAAGTTATTTTTTTTCCCTTCTTTTTTTCTCTTTTTCTATATTACTGATAAACATTTAATGTTGAATGAGGTGTTTTATTAAGTTTCTCTTCATCATTTTACAAAGTTATGAACATTATAAAATTTATAGATAATATGATTTATATGCATGTTTTCAACTATTAAATAAACTATAAAATTTCCTAAAAGTTTTGAAATCCTAAATTTATTGTAGGGCTTGCCTTAATAAAATCAATTAATAACATTTTGATACAGTATGTGATTCAATTTCAAATTTAGTAAGTATATTAAATCATTAAATAATAAAAAATAAAATAAAAATTTTTACGGAGGCCACATGGGGAAAGAATGCAATAACGATAAAATAGGTACTCGTAAATTAATATATAAATAAATAGTGTATATATATATTAATTAATTAATTAATTAATTAATGCTTAGCCTGGAATATTATTATATTTATTTTAGAATATATTTGGGCTGATCCTTCATAATATAATTACAATTACAGATTTATTATTACATAAATTATATAAAATAATTTCTTTTTCACTTACTCTCTACTATTTGGGGTCGGCCATCCTTGTCCTAAACCTCCATTTGTCTCGATTTTCTACATCCCCTACATATACACCAATAGCTCTCATATCATCCTCAATTGTATTGAACCATATTTTTTTTGATTTTCTTCTTCTTTTCCCTTCAACGTTCATTTTCATAATCACTTACCCTTCTTGTTTCCTTTCACCTCATCCCATGCTCAAACCATCTCAGTCTATTTTCTTTCATCTTGTCCACTATTGACGCTACACCTGTACTTCCTCTCACGTATTCATTTCTTATTCTATCTTCTTTTGTCACTTCACTCATCCATCAATAAGCATCTCATTATCAGCATCATAAACATTTTCATTTCTACAAAACTCTGTTCTATTTTCCTATCAACCACCCAACATTCTGAACCAAATAGCATACTTGGTCTCGCTACATTTCTGTAAAATTTACTTTTCAGCCTCATTGGAATTCTCTTATCACATAAAATACCCAACTCTTCACTTCATTTAATTTAGCTGCACTTAATCCTATGTCTTACATTCATGCCAAAGCCCTTATCCTTTTGTACAAATTATCTTAAATATTTAAAGTTCTGGACTTCACCTATGTATTATAAAAATATTTTTTAACCATTTTCCAACCATTTTAGAATTAAAAATTCATCATCAGATATATACAAAGTCAATAAAATTACTTTATATATACCTGACAATGAATTTTGAAACCAATTGTATATTACAAATATAATAATACCTCAGGTTAAATATTTATTTATTCATATTAAATTATTTTAATTATTTTATTAACCTGAATATAGTTTACTTTAAACAAAAGCCATTTTTTCAGGTATTCCATTGCTTTTGTATGGTTTATCTGCTGTTTTTATGATTTCATATAAAGAAATAGTGAAGACAAACGAAGGAGATGTATATATTTATTTCCTTTTAAAAGAAGATAAAGGATCAACTCATTAATTAGCCTTCAACGTATATAGATAATGTTCATTTTAGATAAAACTTGACTAATGTATGAATTAGTAATTTTATAGTGAAATATAAGATTTTCAAATCAATAATTTTAAATATTTATAGTGTACATTATTATACATCAAGAGAAGAGTAGCCAAGAGAAGAGAGTTTACAAAACGAGTTTCTGAGATGAGAAAGATGAACTGTTTTGGAATATAGTGCGTATAAAATAATATAAATATTCATATAATCATCGATTATATATTGTTAGAGATTTTAAAATACGGTATTTTATTTATTTTTTGTATAATGTGGTATTATATCGTATAGAACCTTGTAGTACCTTAAATTATAAGGCATTTAATAAAGGTTATCACTCCATTATTAATTATGAAATATAAATTATTTTAAAATGGGATAATTGAAAAAAATGGCTTAAAAGTTAGAAAAAAATTAAAAAGACACATAATACAAGAATTATTTACCAAATTCACCAAATTAATATTTAGTCATGCTATCGATTTGCAATTATGATATAGGTAACATACGTATGTATTTTATATGTTTTAAATATAAATAAAGATAAAACTATACTTAATACTTTTATAGTTCTATATTATCTCATTGTACCTATATATTTACAATATTTGAATATTATATTAGTACAATAAATTGATTTTAGTCATTTTTAACACCTAAATTCTAAATTAATACGATTACAATAATATTGTATATTTTTAATTTTTATAATAATACTGTACTTTATTAGAGATTCATTCTATAAGTACAACTAAAAAATGAATAGTGAGTTACTAAAAAAAAAACCCTTTTATTATATTTTTTTTATACTTTTTGTATAAAATAATTTTATACCATGTTTATAATACCTTGTATAATACAAACTTACATCACTATATATTGTTTATAATCAATAATGTAGTATACACAATATTATAGTAGGTATTACTCATATATCAAAAATGAAATTACTCGTTTATTTTTATTTTTGAAATTAATATTTTATTTATATACAGTTATTTTAATTGCCTTATTACTTACCTAACATTGGCTGAGATAAAAATTAATTTTTTACGAATTTCTCTTATATCGTATAATTTGTTAAAATGTATTCTATAATAACTAAAATAATTCGTTTTCAATTATCTTTATGAAATTAAACATGTAATATTTTAGATTTGTAGTGTATTGTTAGTAATTAAAGATGTAACTAACTCAGATTGTTTAATTACTCTTTATATTAATGATGTATGAGAAGTAATTAAAAACTTTATAAGTTTGCTGTAAAAATATACAATAGACATTCCTATGGCTGATACTGTTTTCGGTATCATTGAACATTATTAAATATTTTAATAAAATATTTTCAAAACCAATTTAAATGAAATAAACGGTTTTTAGGTACATAAATATAATTTAGTTCATATTATTTTTTATATTAAATTCACCAAATTAAAATACAGTAATATTTCAAAATATCAGATCCAAAATGCCCAAAAAATAAAACTCAATAATGTATATTCTTAATTTGTAACTAAAATACTTCTATGTTTACCCAAGCTTTTATAAAAATATTTAATAATAATGAAAATGCATTAATTAATAAATTAAATATACATTTTTTTATATATATAATAAAACCATCTGAACATTATTTTTTAGAAAAAAATATTTTATAAAAAAAAACAGCAAAATAACAAAACTAATCACAGTAAGAATTTATAACATTTTATGACATATTTTCTAATCATTTGTTGGAACCATATAGGCACGACCAGTTTCTTTAACAGTTGACTTAACAATATTTTTAGGACCCAATTCTTTGACTGTTCTAGTGAATCGTAACCCATGCCCAACAGTTTCAAAAGTGTCTTGAGTTACTTCACCAACATTGTTGCCAAATCTAAAAAATATTTTTGAATAAATTATAAATAATATTAGATTGTAAAGAAATTCTTTTTTTAAAACTACTGATTTGTATTTTGAAGAAAATACATTTCAATGATTTTAAAAAATGAATGAGTCAAGTATCAAAAATATTAAATCACCAGTCTTTTCAAATACATAATGTCTTCATAAACTTACTTGTGACGAACTATAAGAACAGTATTATTTGAAATACTGTTTCCAAGCATGATACCAGATTTCTCTAAGCCGTCATAAACAATTCCAAAACCTTCTATTGCTCCTGCTGCTATGTCAAGTACATTCGTCATTTGCTTAGAAGCTGTATCTTTGTCCATACTAGTAACACCTGATAAAATCTTTGTACCGCCTTTATGAACATGTGGAGCAAGGAATTTTCCAAGTGCACAAGATGCTGTACCTATTTTTCCAGCTAAATACAAAATAATAATAAATTTGTTAATTTACAATATAAATCAAATAACATACAAATTATCTTAATAAAATTTTAAGAACCATACCAACAAAACAAGTTACATCTGCTGCAGTACATGTCACATTTTTTGCAATTTTAACCCCTTTTTTTACTGGAGGACAAACATGTGTATCATTTTGAGATGGATTTATATAATTCATTAAACCTGGAGTAGAATTGTTCATAAAATTTGTTGTTTTTTCAGCTCCTTTTACTAATCCATTTGAAAGAAAAGTTGCTCCTTTAACAATGTGTCCTGAAATTTTACGACCTTTTTCTCTAGCAGGGTCGATTTTTTTTCTTAATGATTTTTGAAGTATATCTTCTAGAATAGACGTGAAAATTTCCAAATGTTCTGAAGGAATTAGAACACCAATAGATGCATGCCTATTTTCAATATCAGGGAATAAAAATGCTCCATAATCTGTGCGAAGACATGGTGATTCATTAGCAACTAGAGGATAGTAAATGTCTTCAATGCTAAGAAAGTACCTCGGAGGACTGTCAACATTTGTACCTAAAACAAATAAAATTCTCAAGTATTGTGGATTGGATAGAAGAGTTGTAATAATTTTTTTCAAACTTACCTTCAAGCATAAAAATTTTAACGTTTGATCTTTCCGATGGCGACGTAACTTGTCCATTAGCAGGAATGAAAAATACTTGTGAGTTATCGCAGCTAATCAGTACAGTAGCTGTAGAACTTTGTTCAATGTCTATACGTAAATCATTAAGCATTGCCGATAACTGGCCATAGGAAATTGGTTGTTCTAACGTAACAGAAACATTGGACTGTTCTTCGTCTGAACGTGTAGCTTCCTGATAGGACGGAGGACTTTGTAAAGGTCTATCGACGACCATATCTGAGCCACTAGTCCTTTGTAACTCAACGATACGATTTAAAATTTCTTTTCTAAAAAAAATCAATCAATTGTATTATTTCTGTGGGATAACACAAGCACAAGCACTGTAAACCGCAAAAATAGTGCACATTTACTTTTCAGTTTTTAAATATTGCAGAATGTTATCCACTTCCGTCCATTCTAAACTAAGATCAGCAGGTCTGGTCAGCGGAACAGAGAAGACGTCGTCGATAAGCGTTAAGCATTGTTCGTACTCCAATAACGCCTAAGATGGTGGAAATGAATAGATATTCACCGTTTCGTCGGTACGTTATTCGAGCAGCAAGTGCTGGTGGTTAAACTTACCGAATTCGTTTTTCCTTGGCTCTCGTAGTTCCTGGCCTCGCGCAAGCTCGTGAAAAACTTGTCAGTGGTAGCCTTCACCCGGCCGTACTGATCGCCCGCGGACGCGACGCCCGACGGTCCCGGAATCGACATGTTCCCGTTCGCGTGTCCAAACGTCGACTGATCGGTCTCAGGTCGTTGGGTGTACTACGCGAAAGTATTGCGAACTATTAGCTGTTTCGGAAATCGCGAAAACCTACTTATCACGAAAAAAACACGCTGGTGTTATCGATCGGCGGCGAGTGGCGTACGCGTTACGTGTCGACGAGTCGTCTGCGGACGTACAACGAGTTCGTGGCGCAACAACGTCACGCATCGGATCGCTCGACCCGGTCCGGTCGAAAACGAATACCGCCCGGTCGGGACGATAACGCGTCGTACGATTATTATTCCGCCGCGTTAGCCTTGTGGCCTATCAGGCCACGGTTATTACTCATCGCGCGACGTCATTGTCTTTGTGCTGCGGTCCGTGGCCTATTTGGGTTGGAAGGGGGTGGGGGAAATCCTTTCTATGGGTTATAATATCAATTTTTTTCCCGTCAACGCATGTTTACGATTATTTTTAAAACGTCAGAAGCAAATATCTCATGTTTACTATATAATATTTAGGTACCTCGACTGCGTTGAGAGTCGGGAAAAAAATTTAAATTTTTTCACCGGTGTAACGAGTGTAACCCCTTCATCTGGGTCGTATGTTAACGTAACAAGATGTTCGTGTAACACCTCGGTAAAAGTTTTGCACTTCAAATGTTTTCGCTTAACTCGTAGTTCCCGAGTAGTTGGTTTAAGCGCTGTATTGGTGAGCGGAAACAAGATTTCGTGTTCGCAGCAGTTCGAGTAACCGACTAGTCCGAAGGTGTTCCGTTTCCCCGAGTGTACGTGTTGTGAACAAGTAGCGGACCACCTTACCGAAGCCCCTAACTGTGCAACGTTTAACTACACCCAGATGTGGATCCAGGGGGAGTCCTGATCCTCCCTCCAAAAAAAAAAAAAAAACAAAAAATATGCATAAATTGCGTGTAACCGGACAACTAGTTGTTTAGTAGTCACTCTGAACTAGTGGCGCGTTATTCCCCAGGTAGTACAATGTGCTAGTAAAATAGATGACGACTAGTTTCGTGTATGTGTAATAACTGTTCTACCATGTGCTTGTAAAACTGTTGACTTATGTAACTTTTGATCGGTTGCTAGTAAACTAGAATCTCGTAAACCACGTGGACATTGCAAACGGACCGTTTTTGAGGGGTTCGGTATAGGCAACGATGGTGGTGCGTGCGCGTGAGCTGTACATACGTTTGTGAGGAGGATCGGCGATAACGATTAGATTTCGAATACTCGATTATGAAATGATTTCAGATTACCTGATCGCTAAAAATCTTGATAGGGCGTGGATTCACTCGGTCGATCGAATTTTATAAATTTGTCAATTCTTAATATTAAATTTATTAAAAAAAAAATATTAAAAATATAAAATATATGCTCCAGCCGATGCTAAGTAGACTTGTTTTCCAATTCAAATATCTTTACATTTTTTAAATCGAATCACTAGAAGTACCTTAATTTCTGTCCATCGCTAAGGTTGTTTTGATGAAAAATTATCTGGGTTTGCAGAGGCCGTAAGTGTTCCTACGACATTGGTACATTTATAAGTTATGACCATATTTTATTTCAAGAACAGTGACGCATGTACAGATTATCAGTTTTAAGATATATTTCGGCAGCTACCAGTGATTGGCGGTAATGCGTTCAAAGGTGTTCTTTAATTTAATTATTTTTTAAAGTTATTCAAACTTATATATTTAATCAATATGACTTGTGAAATGGCAATGCGACTAGATCAATATTAGACTAAATTTAAATCCACTAAGATGAACTATTTATTTTTCACAATAGGCAGTTTAACTTCCAGTTAAGTGACTAAACAACGTAACTTTCTATGTTCAAAAATAAATCGTAACAGTGCAACAGTGATTGAGCAGGCAGTTAGTCAAGACAAACGCGAAAAAAAATTGAATTATCACAATATTGTATTTATTCAGAATTAGTCCATACATTATAACCGCATAGGTTAGCTCAAAGATATAAATATTGCAACATGTGCTTTATTAATATTTATATAATGTCACATTAAATATTAGCACAAAAACACTGGACTACCCTACTGACTTTGATTGTTAGATATACATCATCGCGTAGCAATAATGACAACATAAACCAAATTCATAATCGAATAAAATTATAATAATAATAATAATATATATATAATATATTCATAAATGAGTACTTATGAAGACCTAATTGTATTTGGAATATTCATTACCTACTGATACACGTATATATATAACATACTATACACTCAGTCATACATTTTAGATTAAAAAAAACAATGGTAAAATTCTTAGTCTGTAATTGATATAAAATTGATAATCAGTTAACTTGAAATAATTTGCCCAGAATTTAAATTATACCCGTGTTATCATCAATGGTTAACCGTGAGTTAAAAATCAATATTTATATTTCATTAACTGTTTACTGTTAACAATTTGACCTAAATCATGATTATTATTACTATTAAATTATGAGAAAATCCTTGTGTTTAGTGTTATGTACATGCAGTTTGATTAAATCAAAATCGTTTTTTGTTCGTACTCTTAAAAATAACGAATAGTTTTTTCGAATAGTAGCGTCAACGACTGCAAAGTACGATACACCTAGCCAGTTATTTATAGCAGTTTTTATCTGTGAACTTCTAGAAAATAAACACAATATTTGTACTACAATATAACATTGTATTACTCATTTGATTCATTAGAATTTAGACCCATTAATATTATAAATTAATAGATGCCTTATGAATTGATTTTTTTGATGCGGGTCAAACATACGTACGCTTTGCCTATACTGCAGGACCAGCATAATTATTATAATTTATTTATTGTGAGATAAAACTTTATACTCGCCTGTTAAAGCAAGTTCAGGAGTGATAATTGTATTTCTCCGCCGGCCTGTACCAATAAACTAAAAAATACTGAAAATAAACTAGGTACTGCAATTATGACGTCGTATATGTGGACTAGCTTAATATCGAGTTTAAAAAATAATTTGCGTTCTTCAACCCATTCATTTCTAGTAATATAAAATAAATTTGTTTTTACTCCATACATATTCAGAATTCGAGTACATTTATAGATAGATGCAAATCAAACTAGAAAATTTGGCGAACTTTCTTCCCGCTTTTTTTTTATACTTTTCAAACAAATCACAACTATGAAAAACCGTTTTTCAAACCACTTCAGTTATAAATAAAAAATATATATATATACATAAATTATGCCCACGATAATCGTACATCGACATACATTTACTGGAATGATCGATTTTTACTTTTCACGCCTTGGCTACTTAACAATAGTTGAAAAATTGCCTATAAAAAAGCCTTTAATCTTAATATTTTTGTTCGTTTGTCACAACGTCGACGGCGGTGCAGAACAGTGCCAATAAAATATAATATGATTAGAAGTATCAACACTGAAACTTCAGTATTTGAAGACTTAAAACAAAAACAAATGCATTCAGTTCCTTCAGAGCATTTCAATTTTAACTATAAATTGGCTTGTGGTATCTTTGATGTAGTTACACTCTCTGCATTTCATCCAAACATTATTAAAATGAAATTGTATTCTATCATTTCGTTTCGCTTGAAATGTGTTTGTATATTTCTATAGTGTAACTAATTTAATATTAAATTACAATTTGATTGAAAAGTTATTTAGTAAGCGTAAAAACAGTCAATCGTGCATTTTTTTTGCGTAACTACACTTTGAAATTAATAAATTAATAGATAGTCCAAGTAAAATATTATAACATTATTTTTCTTGATTCAATACATGCAACTAAGTCATTAATAATAATTCTATTGACGTTAAATATGTATATTATATTATATATCGGGTGATTCTAAGCAAAAATCGATCTCCAATTGTTAAAATGAAAATTATTATCGTAAATCCTTTAATACGGCCCAAATAAATATATTTCTCAAAAATAAAATATAACAGTATTTATTTGTGTTAAGTAGTTTATAATATAAATATTTAATTTGAAATATCACACAAACCAATTGTAAGACGTAATTATAAATAATCGGTACGTCTTGCTCATTTTAATATATATTTAATGTAATATGAAAGGGCATTATAATTATTATAATTATATTTTACTACAAAATCGTATATTTATCTTTTCGATAATAATTTACAAGCAACAAAATATGCATACACCATTATTTTGGATGTGGATACGATTGAACGCAATTGCGTCGTTCATAGGCGTAGCTAAGATTTGAATCAGGGGAGGGGGGCAAAAACATAAAGCGATAAGTGTTAAACTCATAATTCAAATAATCTACAGATAGACCATTGGATAACACATAAAACGTCAAAACGATTATACTTGTAGATAACACTCGGTCCCACTAAACTATTTTTAGACATATCTTATTTAATTTTTGATTTTAATGCAAGACTTACACGTTTGGTATAAATAAATATAATTCAGTTTGAGGCGCAGGGGGGGGATAAGTCCCCCTATAAGACTCTCGCTACACCCATGGCAACGTTGTATGAAGACATTTTCAAAAATGTGCAAAGAAAATATAGCTTTATATGTATATATATGCTATGTCTAATTTGAATGTAAAGATAAAGGTTTGCAAAGTATTTTTATAAACTTCTTTTTTGCTCTAATGTCAGCAGTGATGTTACCTACCGTTTGTTTAGTTGCTCTTCGCTGTGATTTTTTTTTCTTACAAAATTATAAGCATGTAAAATAATATACATTTGTGCGTTTCAAATGTCGGACCACAAACAAACAAAATTTTGAATAGAAAACACAATATAATTACAAATAATTGTCCTCTAATTAATTGCTTTGAGCTTTTTTCTCCGATTGTTTATTTTATATTTTTATAAAAAATGCGAGTAAAAGGTTTTTTTTTCGAACGCACACATGTAATTAAATCCATCAATTTGACCTTTTATTTTGGAGTATGAGACCCCCGTTTGAGTAACTCTACCATACACTACCGCATAATTTAATTAAGATATTTTGATTACACGTGATAAAATATATAATATATATTATATTATAATGATATCTTGAAGATAAATTTTTGACATTCAAACTTTGGAGTGCTGCAATTAAATAATTGTTCAGAAACAGGATTAAAACTTTGTAATTAGATTTGCAAAGGGTAAACCATAATCCGTCGGGTAATCCATAATGAACTATAAGTTCATTACTATTAGTAATTTAATATTAGATACATTACGGTAGTATTGAATGATTCGAAAACAATTATTGTGCTTAAATATAAATGCATATTATGGCAATGTTAAAATGTTGCATTCATTTACTTATTTTTAAATACTGGCGACTACTCAATATTCGGATACGTGTTTGTATTTTTAAGTACTTATTTTTCTAGGCCAAGTATAAATTCATATTGAAAAACTAAAATATTTAAATGTTTTGATTATAAGGTTGTGTAAAATATTCAATTCTGCGTTGATTTTATTCAAAATATACATTATTACACATTAAAGATATCGCTGAAGTATAATAAATAGTAGATCGTTCATTATTTAAGGAGTACGTTTAACGACAACTTAATTCATATAGTTCAAGACGTTTACAAATAAAAGTATTTTACATTCGCACTGTGCGTGTCTAAAGGATATTAAACATTTAATAAAATAATAAAAATAATATAACGGTAAAACAAAAATAAATCGCTTATTTTGTCATCAACCGTAACAATAAATACGTTGAGCTTGATTTGTACACGTAAAACACAAAATATTACAGGTACGTAAACATTTTAAGAACGACATACATTTTCGTATTTATTATTTACACCTGCATGTTGCTAGTGAAATGGGTTAAGTAGTACACAATATCGAAAAAAATTACAATTTAGAGCCTTAGTGTTCTTTCAAAATGCAAAACAAGTAACAAGAGTTTGCTGTAAGATTCTGGACAAAAGCAAAATTAAAAACAAACGAGCACTTTATACTGCGTTGCTAGATTACCAGGATAAAGTGGATTCGCTTTGGATAAAGTAGCAGTACCAGTGAAGTATAATAATTGGAAGATGTACTGCAAAAACCTAAACTATCACCGCTCAAGTTCGTAAGTTACTAGTAGTACGTAAGTACTAGTTTAAGTTCTTTAATAATTAATTTGTTATCTATTTTATATATAACGTATTTGTACTATACGAACCTAACACTATTAATATATTAACACTACACTTGTAATACTTCACTTGTAATTGGGTTATTAAACCCGTTAAATATAAATAAATAAATAATATTTCACGTACTGATGTATAAAAAACGCGTTTACTTGATCGTATAGACATCGCCCACGATAGTATACAATAGTAAATCTATACGCTTTGGGATTTTAACATATAAGAAAATGATAACTACTAACGTCAGTATTACTTCAAAACAATAGTAAAGACATTTTATGGATACATTCATACTACTGTGTTTTAATTACTGTACAGCGCTGATTATTTTATCCAACTTTATTTAATTTAAAAATTAATCGTTTATTACGAGAAAGTAAAAACATAATTTTATTTTTATTCTTTATAACTTTAGTAGAAAAATTATTTGGCAATTTTTCTTAAAAACAGATCAGCTGCAATAGCTGTAATTTGCTGAAGTATTGTAATTTGTAATTATTAATTATATATTACAAAACGGAGAGAAGGTTTCAAACCAGAATAAAACTCATTGAAATTCTCAATGATTCAACCGTAAGCTGTACAGTCTACAGCTAAAATATATGCTTGGTCTATGTATATGGCCTTAGTTTGAAACCGACTGTTAAATTAAACGGTTAATACACACAGAACACTGTGTTCGTAAATATTTTACCCAAAATATCATTATTTGGTTGAATAAGTTACATATTTAAATTAATATAATGAACGCCAAATTATAAAGAGACCATAGGATTTTTAGATCTCTTAAAATATCTGAATCGCCTAAAAACGAATGGCTATTAATATAATTTATAAGCTAAAAATGAATATCGTAATGTTCATAAACATCATAATAAACATTTTACTTCATAATAGTTCGCGGAAAAATTACTAAAAATTATGCGAAAATAAACTAAATTTTTAACCCGTAAAAAATGGAATAAAAATCGTATATTTAGTAAACCGCTTTAAAAGAAGACATAGAAAAATCATATAAATTCTCAACACTTACTTGTGTGAGTTAACATCACAGTATAAGTAATCTTAAGATGTAGTTGTTCCGTCAACGTGTCTGTGTATTATATTTTAGTATTTCCAAAGCTGTTTAAATATTCATTTGTAATGCGCGTAAAAAAAAAAAAAAAAATGAAACATTGAATTAAAAAACCGTTTTAATATTTAAACAGATATCGTGTGTCTCTACGGGATGAACGTGGGACGAAGTGCTTTGATTAAAAGTTTTTGAACCTTACCGAAAAAAACAAAATTAAAATCGTGAATTATGGTTATTTTTGACATAATAATATACAAAATAATTAATATCCTAACAGGCGACGAAAATCTCACGGGATGGAGGAAACGCGTGCAATCGCTCGGACAAAATGAACGTTCAATCGGTGCAGAATATTATATTGATCCGATGCGGTTCTTGAAAACACGACTTACGAAGTCAGATTTCTCGTGACGTGCGAAAAGCCATAAGTATTAAGTGTATCCCCAAAGATCACTCGATAGTTCTTATCGATGACGGACCGAAACGGTGTTCATCTTGTCGTCCGAATTATTTAACGATTAGATTTGTCCGGAACTTGGCCGACAATCGATGCTTTGTACCTATTCCACTGCAATAATGATTTGAACGTTTCACGCGCACTGCAGTTAGTAATGATGTTTACTGTGCGCCGCGCTGTTTAAATAATGGATTAGCCAACACGTAGTGTACACAATTAAATATTTAAATGTACGTCATTTCCGTTACGCAAGTCCAAACGTTATGCATTTTATCTAAACGATGTGCATGAAAACTGAAGAACGTACGACGAATTATTTGTTTTTCAAACCATTATTCGTCCATGTACGGTACCATTACGTAGCGTTGCGTTAACAGCACGACCGAAACAACACATTTAGGAATAACGATCGAAACTACAGAAGCAAAGTACGAGATTTTCGTGCGTTCCATTCTGACGACGATATGATTGAGATATGTGGAAGCATACTCGTTCAGGGTGTGCACAGATAATAATACTTCGGCACTCTCATTCAACATTAACAATCATTTAGATTCGTTTATCGAGTTAATCAAACCGTTTTAAAATAACAAAGTACAAAGTTTTTTTTTTAATCAATCACGTTTTTCAGAAACAATAAACATGTAAAGCATAATATTGTTTTCAAAACCGATTGATTTAACATTAGACCCGTTAACATACGTTTGGTTGCTACTTCAACATGCAATTATAATAGGCATTATATTATCGTTTGGAATAGAAAATATAAAAAAAAAAAATTACGTCACGGTACATCTCTGTCCGAGGCTGTGGTAAAAGCAACAGTGGTCTGTTTTTAGTACAATTACTCATGTTTTCATTTAATATACATATATTATCTATACAAAAGCACTACTTCTTATCATTACTTCATTATTTAAATCAAATATAACTGTATAATGAAGACTGATAAGAGATTTAGATTTGTGGATGTTAACTAATATTACACATTTTACTATTGTACAATGAGTTATGTAAAAAATACAATGTTACTTAGTAGTAAGGTATGCATTTATCTTGCTACTTTAATACTGCCTTAAAAAAAAAAAATTATTTAGCCAAAATTCATTAAGTAAATTGACTTTTATGAAAATAAAATAATAAAATTATATTTAAGTACAATATTAATTTCAAATAGCACTTGTACACGCATATAGTTTAAAATTATTTCAAAAAATATCTTTGTAAATATCACAATTTTGGGTTTTACTTTATGGAAATACGAAACATGTCATTATGTCATTGATTAATTTTCCGATTTCCTCAAAATTAATACTCACGCAATATCAAGTTATTTTCGACCGTATGTTTTTAAATAAATTTATGCCGATTTACGTATTTTTCGTCAAACAGTATTATTGAAATTATTTCGCCATTATAATTGAATGTACCTATTACGTTCGTAAACGTACAGGTACAACTATTAACCATAACAATAGGTGTATAATGGTTTTGTGTTAGGACTAAATAATTACAATTGAATAGTACGCCGAAAAGTTAACGTTTCCCCGTAAGTGCGAGGAACGTTTAATGCGGACAGCGTTTTACATACGTTTTTGTTTTCGTTACTAATGTTCGTAATATATCGCTACGATCATGGCGGTTACTAGGACTGAACCACTGCTCGTCGTAATCGTAACGATTCGAAGTCGTGATGAAGTGATGTACATGTGATAGCCAAGGGCGCACCCAAGGGGGGGGGCTAACGGGCTTAAGCCCCCCCCAAAAATAGTTGGTTAACAGGGCAATTCTTCCGTTTTTATGTGTCGTTATTCAGTAAAGTGTCTTCATTTAAACGGTGTATTTGGATTTCGTTTTCGTTTATTTTTAGCAATGTTATGGGTATTCTTTTCCTGGAAATCGTCAATGAAGGCGACCTGCCGCGATGATGTATTTTTGTAGCTTATCTCTTGGTTTATGTGTCAATGACACGGGCAATTTAGATAATCAATAATCATATTATTTCGTATACTTATTTCAACAAAACGATTTATAAATGTATTATATTTATCATTCGTCGTACAATCGTACAAGTGAACGTCGCGTCGTTGGTTATTAGCGTTAATTTTTTTAATAATTTTTAACAAATGTTGTTGCCTGTAGTTGCAACTTTAGAAGAAATACAGTCATGGAGTTGTAAAGACTCATCGTCTAATGCGTTTTTACTGTTATGTGGAATTCGACAATCAAGTTTTATAATATCTCTATTGTGTGCAGAAAAACTGTTAAGTTATACTTTGCCAATCAGTAAAATTCTTCAATCGACTGATTTGGATATTTCGGAGGCTTTAAATAACGTAGATAGTGTAATATCTGTTCTGCAAAACATACGAACAAATGTTGAAAACGAATTTAAAATTATTTTCAACGAAGCTTGCGAAATTGCTGATGCCTTAGAAATAACAATTGCTATGCCTAGATTAACAAAAAATCAAACCAAACGGTGTAATGTACCCTCAGAAAATGAAGAAGAATATTATAAACGTGCCATTTTCATTCCATGGCTAGATTCCTTTATTAATAGTATATCTGAACGATTTTTAAAGCACAAAGATGTGATTAAAAGTTTTAAGTGCCTTTTACCAACTGGACATATTCCCAATCAAACAGAAAAATCACAGTATTCAAAACTATTGGAATTTTACAAAAATGATATACCACAAAATGGAGTTAATGCTGCAGCCGCCGAATTCGATTTATGGTACCAAAAATTCGCACACCAAAATCATTCTTTACCACATAATGCGATCGATGCATTAAACTTGTGTAATGATACTCTATTTCAAACTATATTTATACTTTTAAAAATATTCTCAACATTGCCTGTTTCAACAAGTACAACGGAAAGATCATTTTCTTCTTTAAGAAGAATAAAAACATACTTGAGAAATACAATGAGTCAGAATCGACTGAATGGATTAGCTATGCTTCATATTCATAGAGAAATCGATGTTCAAACTTCAGAAGTACTATCAATACTAGGAAAAAAAGGACCAAGACGACTTAACTTCGTAGTTTAAAATTAAAAGGTAAAATGTATGAAAAATAATCAATATATTAGTTATAATATAATAAATTAATAATAATATTTATTATTTTACAGGAATAACTTCACCGTAACGGCACGCGGCGTGACTACTGACTAAATCAAAACTATGTAAAATATCATATTGTTAATTTCATAAAAGAAAGTGACGTAAAAATCGTGCACAAGCACAAGCGTGTTTTCCGATTTTTGTACATATTTAAAAATAAATACTGTAACTGTTAAAAGATAATTTTATTTAGCCCCCCCAAAAAAAAATCCTGGGTGCGCCCCTGGTGATAGCAGCATATTTCTACAACGGGCCTATTGATCGAACCCTTCACGCGGCGAGCGTTCGACCAGAGTACACAATTTGATTTGCCATTTACGATACGCTACGTGATTCACGCTAACATTAACGTACCATAAGCGATCGATCGCCAAGAAGTAAACGTGACGTACAGGAAAATATCGTTCATCGGATGACTTGGAACCTTCGGACCGACGGATTGTCGCGACTGGTGTCGTCGTGTCTCGGAAAAGGATAAAAACTTTACGGGCTCGCATCAAACGGCCGCGGTGTAATTTCACTTTTTCCTAGAGCAGAGCAGTCGGCGGTTATTTTTTAAAATAACAGACCGGGAAAATCTGATACACGACCGAACACCATCACGAGCAACGGAACTGAACTTTGTTATCGTCCTAATTTTTCTGACATAATATCTATGAACTTTTTGAAAACTAAAAAACTAACTCCATTGCGATCTCTGAACATCGGTTTTAAATCTTGAACTGTTCAAGTGGACAGTCGTTCGCGAAGAAGCTGCCCACCGGGTCAGGCAGTCCCGGATCTCGGATTGCCGGCGGCTCAATCCGACCCTGGGTTCGACGTTGAACGTACAGCCTCGATTGAACACGGTGAGAACGACCCTAATGTTTTTTTTTTTGTTCAGATATGATACGCGCGGAGCTGTGTCGGAGATTTCATCCGTTATCGGGGGAGGTTCAAGGTGACGGACAGTGGTCGTGGTCACGGACGACGGAAATATTGGAGGCGCGGCGGAGGGTCGGCTGAGGGTCGCGTACCCGTCGTAAACACGTCGACGGTTGCTGCAAGGGAATATATTGTGAACCGCGGCCGTCGTCGAAGCTTCTCGGGGACGACGCGGCGGCCGGTCAATCGGCTCTCGGTCGGACGACACCTGACCTCCGACGGTCATCGGTACCGTCGTTCTCTCGGTACGGCTTCGCACACCCACGCGCGCGCATCGTTATTATCTCGTCCTCGTGCGCGCGCGCCTACGCGCGTTTCGTCGCTACAACAATCGGGTGTCGCGCGCCTCCCTCCCCTTCCCCTCCGGGCCGTATCTCCCGCTAAACGCTACCGATCCCGCCCGCCCGCCCGCGCAGTGATTGATTTTCGCCGCGCGCCGTCGCGGAACGCTCTAGCGGACGCCCGCCGGGGCCCCGCGCACGCGGTACGTCACGCGCGCACACGGTCCGCGGCGTGCACAGCGACGACATGTCCACCGCCGGTGCCGAACGCCGCGCGGCCACGACGCCGCGACCGGGCCTGATCGGTTGCGCGCTGCTCGCTTCCGAGACGGCGGCCAACATCGCGCGGCGCTGCCGGTCCAACCCGCGGCTGCTGTCCATGCTGGTGCAGGAGAAGGCCGACGGCGAGGCGAACCGCGGCCGTTTCGCGCACGACTTCAAGACGCTGGCCGACGTGCTGGTGCAGCACGTGGTCGCCGAGCGCATCTGCCGACAGGTACGTACGCGCTCGCGCCGCGCGGGGTGGGGGGGGTGGCGAAATCGAAAGACGCCGACGACCGCGACCGGCCGAGGAAACGATCGACGGGAAAACGATATCGGCGCACCAACGGACAGTACCGCGCGTATCTGCATTTCGCCAACCGTTCGGGAGAGCGAAGACACCGAAAAAATATTAACATTTTTATACGCCTCGTGTTCTTATCAAGTTCGAATTTACGTTATGATTATTCAACGTTACCTTTGATAAAAATTCTTTAAATTCGGTTGCCGTTTGATATCTAGTGCGGCTGCTTTTGGCATTCACTAAAGGTACGTGTTATTTACCAGTGCTTTAACCCGGTTGAGATTTATAAAAATTACTCGATACTGTATCCGATTCGGAGGGGAAATAATTTATTTCCGGTTGTTGTGCAGAAAATACATTTTGTGCGCAAGGAGATAACAAATATTTCGATACCGAAAACTCGTTTCGTGTAAAATGATACGTGGTTCCCATTGTCGTTAGTGTAACGATATGATAATTTTGCGTCGATAATCGTCGAAGATCGGTCTTCGGCAACTCCCGAAAATATCTGCTTTGCCGTTCGTCATGCAATTCTTTTTTTTCAACGACGAAATATGTCACCGAGAAGGTTTTACGGCCGATTTCGATTCTCCGATTCTTTGGACTCGTCTAAATTATTGATTACATTTACTAAAAAAACTATTAGAATCCATAAACCTGTAGGTACTTCGGTTGCCGAGTTCAACGTTTTTTTTTTTCTATCTCAGAGCGAAAATGACTATACGTTCTATTAATACGTTTGTTTTCGAACAATTATAAGGCAGTTCCGGTGTTAACAATGTTGACTGCGGTGTAAGAGAAAACGTCGATCTTTTTTCATTTATCGCAATCGTTAATATTTTATACGCACGGTGCTTTTGTGTTGAGTCTCCACGTGTAACAGAAAACAGGTCGCTCGAAATCGAACCGAAACCCAAATTTTTAATCACTTACGCGATTTTTTAACTTTATGATTTTACCTGACGATGTTGTTTTAATACGAAACTTGTCGTAAAATACACATATCTTAATACTCCAGGCTACGTATTTTATTTATTTACTTCTACGTATTCATATTGGTGCGTAGTATTATAAGTATTATATTATCCAGATAGTTGATTCCCAGTTGTATAACCATAACATTATCTAATCTGTTTCTTATCGTGCTTAACCACATGTGATACATCTTTTTTAATATTTTATCCGCCATCGCGTGCGTTTCTACGTAAAATGTGTGCACGGTTAACTTTATAGAAATATAAAAATAAAAACTTACGTTTTCACAGTTTTGATGCGGACGGAACCTTTATATTTTTGAATATTTATATATTTTATAACATTTATTCGAGACTTGATTTTTACGGTCTGTTTCGTAAGAATTAGTTTCATATGTTTTATTAGTCATGCGATTATGCGATTATTTTGATGGAGTATTTTTTTTTTTTTATTTTTTTTAGTTTGGACAGGGGGTAACGCTTTCAAATCTTCCATCACCTAGCCGTATGCGTGTACCGGTGCGGGAGGTTTTTTATTTATTACGACTACTTTGGCAATCTAAAGTAAAAAGTTCTTTTATTATTTTTATGCGGTGTTTTCTCTACAATCTGCGGTAGAAATTAAACCATTGAATAGGATTTTCATTGGTATTTTATACGGTTCACGTTATACTGACAACATATACCATGATATTGTCCGCATATTTACGTTTCCTTGTTGTGCTCCATCCTGATCTGTTAATCGTCATGGGTGTTGAACTCTTCCCGAATCCCGGAGTTCCGTGTCAAACACACGTTTAGTGTTTGGATTTATACTATCATTAAGCGTGCACTTTCAATACTTATAAATCCACTTTCCAACTTGGTAAATTTCGATCGTGACGCGTCTTTCCTCGTCATAGATGCTAGTGGATTTTGATATAATTCCGCAAGACATTTAAACACGCAACATGGAAAACAATCTGAAAACAAAAAGGTTAACATATAGCTCTTTAAAATATGATTATCTTCAGATATTTTAATTTAAATTAGTTTTCAACACCAATACCGCTTATAGAAGATGCATATATAAATACCTATATAAATGATACAATTGACTCAATAACCAGGTTTTTATTGTTTTCTTCACCTCCATTTACAATGTAAATTTTACATACCATAGTGACGTCGATGCATCGGTGTGTTATTTATATTTAATTCCTATAGGTAAATTTTTAATGACGTCAGTGGTGAATGTATAGCGATTAAATAGCGTAAACGAGAATAAGGAAAGATTTTTGAAAATCATTATCACGGCATATGATGATTGAAAAAAAAAAGAAAACCTAATGGAGACTAGAAATTGGAAATGAATCAGAAATAGCAGAGGTAAAAAAATACAGTCTACTTATCGATATTAGCTTTCTTTCACTTTATGTGGAAATATAACTTCAAGCTGAACAAGTATAAAATTTATATAGAAGCTTTTCTTTTTATCTTCTACACTATAAAAGATTCTATACAAGAATCTATCGACTTCAAATTATACGTATGTCAAAGGTGAAAAATGTATTGGTTGTTACAGTATATTATGATGAGGTTTATTTTTTTTTTTTTTTTAGAGTTCTAACAGCTTGTATAACATACTATGTTTTACGATGCTTAACTTACTATCAATCTGATATATATCTACTCTTGAATATTATAATAGCTAGAGCGTCTCGTATTTCCAATAATTTAAAACTTTTGGTCCCGTTATTGCGTTTGTATAACAAGCCAATAAATGTTTTTTTAAATCAATAGCAGTGTTAAACATGTTAAACGTGTACACGTGTATAAACATCAAGCTCATTAGCCAGGTGTCACGAAGTTATATTACTATTACACGATGAAACATTTTCGCACGTAAAACAACAACATTTACATTCACCAGGGCAAGTGAGTTTATTGAGTTAAGTCAATATTTACTGTTTGAATTTAAACAACCAGGTTGGGAAAGTAAAACAATACTCATTTCATACCAACACGATACAGTACATATATATTTTTTATAATTCTCATAGTCATGTTAAAGACTATGTAAACGAACTTCGGTTTTTTTTCTCGTTTTATAAATATTAATAACTATTACTATTATTATTATTATTTCTCATGACTATTATCATTATATTATTTTTTATTTGGTTTAAGAAACCTTAAAAGTGAATTGTTAAAACATCTATACATGTTCTTTGTACGTGAACGTATACATATATGTGTATACATGCACGTACGATTCACTTTCAAATTAGAGCTAGAATAATAATATATTAAGTCAAGGATGTAATTCTGAGGTCGATATTGGCGTAGGTATAAGTAGAACTACGTCATTGTGTACTCATAATCAATTGTCATTATATGTTGACAGGTACAACGTTTTCAGAGATATTTAGTAGTTGAATTTTAACGTGCGTTTTCTCATGAATATTAGGAAATAATAATCATTATACATTTGTTTAAAACAGAAATAAACAAGTACATAAATATTATCTATAAACGCATGCAGAAATTTTATTTTTTAAGTAAATTTATATTTAGTGTGTCTACAATACTACCAAAATTAGACTGAAAAATAACTACACAAAATACTTTTCAGTTAATGATAATTTATTCAAATTAAATATTACAATGATCAAGAATCATACATGTTTTTTTGAATATTATTATTAAATCTATAAGACAATTACGTAATTATAGACCGTGCCTAGTATAATTAGCACCCGGTACCAAAAATCATTTTTAGCATCTCGACCTCCTCTAAAATATTATCTTATATAATTTTTTAGTAACATATTTTTACATCTATAAGCTACATGGAGACTACATAAGAATAGAGAGTTCTACAAAACAACCAATTTTATATTTGATAAATTAATAAAATAAATAATCAACAGCTAAAGAACTATATAAGTAATAGAACTCAAACTGTATAGGTAGAATAAACAAAACATGTAGATAATAACCTATCATGCCAACTAAACCGGTATAGTTAATTTACAGATCGAATTTACTTATGCAAAAAATAACTTGCCTTTCAATAATTGCTGATGAAAAATAGTTAGGTGCCTATGCAACTTCTGCGTTATAAAATATGATATGATCGCTGAAATATATGCCAGCGGTTCCCAATCCATTGATCACTCGCTGGGCGGTATTGAACCGTGGATCATATAATATTAACATTACTGAGGTATATTTTTAAAACATTAAATATCAGCTAGTTAAAAAGATTCGTTGATTGAATTTTCATGTGATCAGACTATAAAATCGTTTTTTTAAATCACGCCATCAGTGCCATCCTGGTTAAATATTCAGCAATCACTACGATGGCACTTAAAAATTTGATGGGCTTTATTTCGACAACAAACAATAATTGGAAAATAAAAAATGTTTTTCCATAAATATTGTAGACGTTTATAATTTGAAATCATTGATTATTCCGGTTATTTTTATTATGCAGGATAAACATAATATTTATACTCGTATATTATTGTAGTGTATGCCGTATTTACAAATTCGATATTTATGGTAATTTTATCTTTTAGCTGTAAACAATACGAATGGTTTAATTTATCACAGTTATTTAGAATGAAATATTTTATTTTTTGTACTATACTTCGGTACGTATTTTTTTATTTTTGCTGCGAGGTATGAAATATTTCACAATAGTGTCTAAGCAAAAATATTTTTTGTGTTTGTTTTGAGCGACGTAAAGTGTGATAATTTTACGCGTGAAATTTCTAAATAAAGCTATAGTACAAGAAAATAGGAGTATTCGTTTTCATCATCAAATAATATAATTTGCAGTCATAACATACTCGTATGCATACACACACACACACACACACACACATATTTTGATATTAAACTTATGTATATTTATAAGTTGAACGCGGTTGAAATTTCTCATTTAATTAATAATAGAACACGAATCAAAAGCCTTCTGAGTGATCGGTAGCTGAGACTTAGTTATCGCGTATTCTCACGTATTTTATTTTTTCAATAAGGAAAAGTCGATTCAGCAAAACGAGCTTAAATAAATTACTTTATTTAATGATTAAATCAATCAAGTTATGTAATTTATACGCACCATAGGTATAATGTGTATACCTGCAACGCAAAAAGAAGACCAGATAATAATGTACTCGTGTCTAATAAGAATTAGAGCGTAGTTAGAAACGTATTGTTCGATAAAAAATTTCGAGTTTATCAAAATAATAAATATATATTTTAATTGATTGAAATATAAACATGTATTAAAAATGTATACATTTTTAAATACAAACCAATTATGTACAGCACAAGTTAATATCTATCTACTATAATGATCAAAATACCCATAAATTTGGATGTGAATTAAATCATGAATTAATCGCGAGTTACAAACATGAGTTATTCGATGATTAGGTGACATCTAAATATATTGATAAAATATTTGACTGTTGTATTATTTATTAATTGATCAAGAAAAACGATGAGATTGAATTAGGCCAGTTATATGACCCATACGCTTGGTACTCGAAACGGTCAATAAAAACACGATTTTTATTGCCTTCATTGGTACATCGCATTTTATTCAATATGAAACGGACGGAGAAGGAAAATTAAATTTGTTCTTAAGTATTAATTTTAAACAATTCAAGCATTCAAATCGATTTTCAAAAATATTCTTAGCATTCTTCTAAGTCTGTATAAACACTTTTTTAAGTATAATGATCTAATGTAATACGTATGCAACTATACAGGATGAGTATGTACCGTTTCACACATATAGTTCAGTTTTTAGATATTTAAATAAATTCAATATTACATAATTTTAATACAAATATTAATATTTATATAAAAATAAAAATATATTTTAATCGTATACTGTATTGTTGTGCGATAAACGTTCAATCAAAATTGCATGATATTTACTTATATATATTCCAAAGAAGTATGCTCTAACAGTATAAAAAAAAAAATTGTAACCACAAATTATCACAATAGGATTTATTTTGTGATATTATATTATTTAGTCCCTCTTATTATTGAAATTCAGTGAAATGTACTTCGAAATGTAATATAGTGTTTTAATATTTTATTTAACAATTTATTTTTTATTTCACAAAATGTTTTAACAATTTTTAATATTCAATGTCCAAAATAATATTAACCGTAGTTTAATAATAGATATGAAATAGGAAAGAAAAAAAAGAAAATGTTTTGTGTACCACATAGATGTATGAAAAACAAACAAACTTTGTTTGAAAAAAACTCTCTTTTAAAAAGAATTAATATATTGTTACATATTTTCAAATGCATCATTTTATTAGTAGAAAAAAAAATTCTAACCTGAATCAACTGATTAAAATTTAATTACTATTTGCAGTTTCCAGAATTAAACGGAAATGTATTCGGCGAAGAAAATGATACAATAAGAAATAATAAAGGACAAGATGTTACAATAAAAGTTGGTAACACAGTAGAGGAGACATTGCAGTGTTTATCCGAAGCTTTAGATGACGATCTGGAGTCGGCCAAAAGCTTGGCTGAAGCGGCTCATAAAGAATTCACATTGGAAGATCTAAACGTCGATTCTTACCCAACGGGAAAAGATGTAAACCTAGATCTAAAGAAAATTGGAATATGGATTGATCCGATAGGTAACATAGATTTAATATAGTTTTCGACCGATTAAAAAAAAAAAAAACTTATTATGATTATTATTTGTAGATATAATGTCTTTAAGTACAACAGATCGACATCGTTGTTGATAATAACAACAATTTACATATTATGTAAAATTAACTCAATGCCCGTGGTTTTAACTGCTCGCCGTAAATATTCATTAGTTAAAAACAGTATTTCGACTTTAAATAATTTTTTGAATTTCTATTTTTTTTTTTTTTTTTTTTGACTTTATAACGCGTCTTATAGTCTTGTAAACATATAACAAAATATTTAAATGAATAATTCCTTATTATTTCACTTTAGATTCAACCAACGAATACATAAACGGAAATGTAGACGGTTTAAACGAATACGGCTTTCATTCGAGCGGACTTCATTGTGTTACTATCAATATTGGGCTATTCGACCGGTGCAGCGGAAAACCTATTGCTGGTGTCATTAATCAACCTTTTTTTCAATGTGATTCCGTAGAAAGGTATTAACAATCGACTTGCATTCGTACATTTTTTTTTTCCAAACTAAGTGTTATAAAAATATGTGTAGGATAAAGATATACAGTGATGATTAGAATAAGCTTTCAACACTAATTTTCTTACATGTAATTAATCAATTTATTGTTTATATATATATATATATATCGATATTCTTTAAAGTACCTGTTAGTTTTTCAAAAAATAAAAGCCCACCGGAACAAACTCCAAATTAAAAATACATTTTATAATTTTCTAGATGAGTCGTTATACATCTTTACAGTTATTTTTTCAAAACTGAATATCATATTAAACATTAATATTAAGGTAATAGTACTGATAACATTTTTAATACATTTTATATTTTTTAAAGTTGCAAAAGTTGCAATTTCGTTTTTAACGTATTAAAAATTTATGCGTGAACGTAAAATATTCGCCGTACCAACGTTTCCGGCAAACATTCCTTAACGCATCAAAATTGCCTATAAATAATGCCTTAACATTTTCGATTCCACTCTAGCGATTTGACGAAAAACATTTTAAACCCTTTTTTTTATTATTATTAAAAACAAATTATTAATATAAATAAACTATTTATTTATTTTAAATGATCAAAACATTTTCTATTTGTCGATAATAAATATTAGCACATAAAATAAAATTGTTTTTAATACAATAAATATCTACATCATCATTTGGAATCAACCAACTAATTTGTTAATTTTATTTATAAATTTACTCAAGTCATATAAATAATGTTTACTTATCAATAAAAAAAAAAACGCTCTAGAATTAGCAAATTAAAAAAAAAAAAAAAAAATTAATTAGGAACTTCATTGATTGTTGTAAATAGGTGGAGTGGAAGGTGTTTTTGGGCAAATTGCGACGGACAAGAAAGCTCGCATTCATTACCGGAATTTATTAGCTGTGATCAGGTAAAAAATAACCAAATGGTTTTGTTTATAGATAATAATCAGCATATGCGATTGTACACAAAACGAAAACATATGAAAATAAAGACTAAAAACTGCAGCGAATAATTTTGGAAAAACCAAAATACGACTACTATTTAGTATCATGGTAAAAAGTTAGAAGCTAAAAAATTATTTTCCAGTGGGTTTCGTTTCGATTTTTATCCAACAGTAAATACACGCCTACACCGTTTTTATAGAATAACAGCAATATACAGTTATAAACGTACAACCATGTTGTGTCACCGCAATAACAGTTTACCACGTAACTTCATACGTACGTATATGCGGGACATTATTTAAGTCTGAAGGTAACTGTCAAAATCTCGGTCGGTCTGTTATAATATCATTTAGCTTAAATATATTAATAATACCGAGTGAAATAACTCTTACGCATTAATATGGTTCGCGAACGTTAAAAAAACACTTCTTAATCTACTACTCGTACAGATTCTTTTTAACACACTTAGTGTTCGATAAAATTACGGTAATTACGAAAAACAACGGATTCGTTAACCTAGAAGGAGGAAGGCGTTTCTCTAAAAACGTAAAAACCAATTTCTTTTGATATTTCGATATTTGATTTATACATAATAATAAATAATTGCACATTTTTCGTAGAACAAAGCTGATATTTCACTTTTTTTTATTCAAGTACCTGCACGATTACTAAGATTCAAAGCAATTTATCACAAGAAACAGATTCCAAACATTTTCCTTATCTTGATCTTGCGAGTTTCCGAGTGATAAGCGAAAAGAAAAAAAAACAATTCCAAATAATCCGTATCGCACATCAGTACACCATTATTGATCATTATTGTTACCACTGAATAAAACAGAATGGACACTGATAACAAATTACACGGGCAGCATAGGACAATAATGAAATCAGTCAGCCATTTTATTTGAGGTACAGTAGGAAGTTAGTAACATTTTATTCCATCATGAAACGGTAGTAATATTCTTTATAAGCTACTGCGCATTTTCAAATGTTACTAATGGTAGTATTATTTTTCAAGGTATTAGGTGCAATAAGAGTTTGAGATTTGGGGGGCTATAAGTCTTATACTATGGTATGACTATGGGTCAACATCCAACCTCCCATCATTACCAAAAAAAAATATAAATTGTGTTTTTGTAAATGTATTACAATTGTATTTGTAAATTTACTACAACAATGATTCGAATTTTATAGTATTATATCGATATAAACGTTTTTAATATACTTAAAAAATCTATATAAATACCTGTATAATACTATTTAATCATCGATGAATGTATTTCATAGATTTTTTTTTTTTAAACACTTCCCATTCTGAAATCGTGCACATGGGTCTGTACTATGGTAGACATACTATCTAAAAAATGATCCACGAGTAAAAACTTCTTGGTACCCAGTAGGTCACCATGTTTCACACCGTTTGGTAGAACACATATTGAACAGTTACCATAATTGAAATTACAATTAATAACGAATATCAGTCATCACTGATTACAATTTGATAACAAAATTACCTCAATTGAAATGGCCGCTGATTTCGTTGCCGCCGTGTTGTGTCCACCCCCTGTTGTTACTAACGACTGATAAGAAAAAAAAAAAAAAAATTCAATAATAATTATAATTGTATTTCACTTGCCCCCTCCCCCGGTTACCACCGGCGATACTATATCGTTGGCGGTTTGCGTGTGCGCACAGGAACTGGTGGTGACGAGCGCCAGCGAGACGGACGCGGCGGTCGCGGCGCTGCGGCG